TAGGTGGGGTTGCCTCCCCACAAGCGCTTCTTTACCGTCTTTTAGCTGGACGCCAGTAGATGGATCCTCAGAGAGGTGTACGCGCGGGTGCCTTCAAGAGCGGATCCAGCTCGCTCTTGAGGTACAGCTTCAGATGGTGGCCATGCACCCGACGAATGTGGCCACCAGCATTCGCCAACTCGACTTGGCCATCCGGCAGGATGCAAGCGAGTGAATACTCGGATGGCCAAGGTGGTCGAGGTTCAGGAGGCGGGACCAGCTCATAGTGGTCTCCGGTTTTCTTGCGAGCAGGCTTAGCTACCTGCAGCTTCGGCCGCCACTCCTCCCTGATTATGTCTGATAATGGAGTGGATGGAAGTGGAGGCGAAGATATGGGAGGGGGATCCTGCAAAGTGGGAAGCACAGAAGGATACACGACAGGCTCGTGCTCCTGGTGAGAAACAGCATGTAAAGGCAAAGAAGCAGGGAGAGTATTAGCAATTGAAAATGTTATTCGCTCCTCGCCATCCCTCAAAACTAAGGTCCCATCATGCACATCTATGAGAGCCTTGGCGGTGGTTAGGAAAGGCCTTCCCAGTATAAGGGGCACTTCTGTGTCCTCATTGATGTCCAAGACAACAAAATCCACAGGATAAAAGAATTTGCCAACCTTAACCAGAATGTATTCCACTATGCCCCTAGGATGAACTATAGATCGGTCAGCTAATTGAAGGCTCATCCTAGTAGCACGGGGTTCACCTAGGCCTAGTTTCTGGAACAATTTATACGGCATAACATTGATACTAGCACCTAGATCCGCCAAGGACCTCTCTACATGCAATTTATCTATAGAGCAAGGGATAGTAAAACTACCTGGGTCCTTCTGCTTCGGCGGAAGCTTGTTCTGTAGAATGGCCGAGCACTCCTCGCTGAGCTCCATAGTGGCCAGCTCGCTCAGCTTCTGCTTCTTTGAGAGAAGATCTTTCAGGAACTTCGCATACTTAGGCATTTGAGATAGTGCCTCCAAGAAAGGTACTTGGACATTCAGCTTCCTAAGCATGGACATGAAGTTCCCGAACTCTGCCTCTAGCCTGTCTTTGTGCAACCGAGTAGGGAAGGGGAGTTGAGGGATATACTCCTTCACTACTGGTTGCGGTTTAGGTGCAGGCACCTCAACCTCCTGCTCCGCTTCTTCTTCAGCGGCTGGAGATGCCGAGGCAGGGGCTTCTCTCTCTTGTGCCCGAACCGGTGGATCAGCAGTCATCTTGCCACTCCTGGTTGTGATGGCATTGCAGTGGGCATTCGGGTCCTTCAGATTAGGAATGGTATGACCTGGAAAGGTACCTGGAGCCCTTTGCGCCACTGCTTGAGCCACGCTACCCAGCTGGGTTTGGATATCCTGCAAGACAGCCTGTGTGTTCCTCTGGCCAGCTTCAAGAGCCAGGAATTTACCCGAGGCATTTTCCATGAACTACTCGATAGTGTTGAATTTCTAAGCACTAGAACTGGCGAGAGAACCCACCAAGTCCCGCAGTTCAGCCATCGGACCAGTCTGCACTGGGGTGGCAGGGGCTGCACCTGGCTGCTGGAAAGGTCGCGGCTGTGATTGAGCTGCATGCCCTGCATGGGCTGGTAGAGAGACTGCTGCTGCTGCTGGAATTTCCCCTGTCTGGGCTGGTACGGAGGCCTCTGGAAGCCAGGTGGTCCCCGGGGGACTGGTGGTCTGGAATTTGCCCCACCCCAGGAGAAGTTGGGATGCTGGCACCACCCCTCGTTGTAAGTGTTACTATAGGGGTCATTTCGCCTAACATTATTGATGAAGTTCACCTGCTCCTGGGGTGTGGTTGATTCCTTCATCGCCTGGCAGTCTTCCACCGTGTGATGGGTGCTCTAGCACCACTGCTGCTGCAGTCCGGTCCCTGGAATCATCCCGGAGCGATCGATGGCTGACACCAGCTTTGACACCACCTGCACCAAATCAGATGACTGGGTAGCTACAGAATGCACACCCCATTCTCTACCATCTCCTCAAAGAGTTGATTCAGCTGTGGCGGTGTTTGGTCAGCATGTTCCCGCCACAAACCGAGTCAATCAGCTGCTTGTCTTCTGTGAAGAGGGCGTGATAGAAGGTTCCCACCTTGAAAGCATCATTGAAACCATGATTGGGACACCTCAGGAAGAGACTGTTGTATCTCTCCCATGCGTCCCGGATGGTCTCATCTTCATCCTGGATAAAATGGGTAATTTGCTTCTGCAGGTCCGCCGTCTTGGATGGAGGATGGTAGCTGGTGAGGAACTTGTCCGCCAGGTTGGCGAACGTGGTGATAGAGCCCGGAGGTCGAGTGTCTAGCCACTCCTTGGCCTGCCCCTCCAGGGTGAATGGGAAGTACCTCAGCTGGATGGCATCTGCTGGAACATGAGGGTGTTGAATGGGTGACCTCATGTCCGCAGCCCTGGCGGTCCAGTAGTATCCCATGGTCTGCTCCTCGGGAAGGACCACATCATGGTCCTGTGGATCCCCCATCTCTTCTTCTTCAGCGATCGGCAGCTGTGCTAGCTCCTCCTCCGCAACCAGTCGCGCATTTAGAGCCTGCTTGAAGTTCCTGCAGGTTCGTTCAAGCTCCTGATCTAATGGTAGTAGATCTCCCGACTGGCTACGGGTCATGCACTATCTGCACACAATCAGCAGAAGCAACCAGTGAAGGCACACAGGTGGAAGAGATAAAATGCAGTAAAGAAAAAGCTAGAGTAACAAATTTTCACATTTCTCCAATAACCTAGAGGTTCCCCGGCAACGGCGCCAAAAACTTGACACGCCAAAACACAGCACCAAACTGCGACCAAGTGTAATCGCAGTCCGGGAATGCAGTAAAGTGGCAAGTTCTATTATCAACCCGGGGTCTAGATCTACTGCTTACTCCGTGATTATCTATTATCTAGCCAACTAAGTCAAGTGATTGTTGTTTTAAGCAAAAGCAGTAAGAAAGCATGAATTGGTACGGTTTTCTCAAGCAAAGAAGAGTCACTCGGGAATGAGTCCCCCTAGCTCCTTAGTTAGGTCTCAATTGTAATTACCCTAGGTTGATTTACTGTTGATTAGACTACGGAAGATCCAACTGTAGCTTGGAATCTCTTAAGTTGACCAAGCCCTCTCAGTCTAACTACCCGGCAGACGACTAGTCTTCACCGGGATAGAAAGCTGAAGCAATAAGCACAGAACTCCACTACTGGAATTGAATTCCAGTACAAAGCAGTAAACTGGCTAACTCTCGTTTAGCCAATCTCCTACTACCGAATGATGAGGCTCTAACAACCTAATCAGATTCTATCTATCTCAGGTTGCAGCAGAAATCAAGAAAAGCTGACCAGACTTCAATCAATTCAATAAAACATGCATCATTCGATTAAAACCAAACAGTATAATCATCCCAAGTCATTTCAATCAAATCCCTAACACATGGAACTAGGGTTCTTCATACCCAAGTGAGAGAAGGGTTCTACTCCATAGAGAGAGAGAGAGGAAAACAGAATACAAAGCAGTCATACTCATAACAATGGGAAGAATCTGCTCTGGGATGATGATTTCCACTCCTATGACGATCTCCAAGCTCGATTTGATGAAACCCAGCTCCAAGATTGCTTCTAGGATGTGTTCTTCGCACTTTCTCTCTCTAGGGCTCTGTTTTTGCTCTGAAAACTCGATTCTCTCACTTGTGGCCCGAAATTGGGTAAAAACCAGAAAATCCTGATCACACGGGCAGGCCACACGACCGTGTGACATACCCAGTTGCCCGTGTGAGACACAAAACGCCGCGTTTCCAATAATTGCACTTCAGGCTACCTACACGGCCAGGGACACACGGCCGTGTGGCTCACCTTGTCTGCCCGTGTGAAGCCTCCCATAATCCCACACGGCCACATTGGTTACTTGCACGGCCGTGTGGGTTTTGTGTATGCCCGTGTGGCTTCCTCAGCGACTTGCCTCACGCCCGATCTTCGTCCAATCGACCCCGAACTCGCTCCCAAACCTTCATTCACGTACTAGGACCTGAAATATCACAAACAAGCACAACCTAGCGTGAAATCGGCCTAAAACACGAGAATCAACATCTCAAACGGCTTAAGAATAGGGGTGAAAACATGTGCAATTAACGGTTTATCACTGGCCGAACTCGCCACCTGAACCAGTGCTCGTCCCTTGCTTGAGGAGGAGGTATCGCCGATGAAACCAAGGAGTGGCGGTGGTCTTTGTCGAGCCGGGGAAGGAGTAGTGGCCGCCCCTCAATTGTCTTCATACACCCATATATATATGCGTAGGGGTTGAGTTAGGGTTTCTAAGGATGATTAATTATTTAATTAAAAGTGAGGGCAATTTAGGGAATATATATATATCCAAGATCGGGATGTTACACCACTTGTCTTTTCTTTTGCCTGGTTAGTGGTTTATTTTTTTGTGAGAAGTGGTGAGGTTCTTAAGATTTGGATTTTCTAATATATCCTCCCTATGATTATTTGATAACTGATTATGCATCTTATTTGAATAGTGCTAAAAGTTTATGAAAAAAATATTCACAAATATGTTGGAAAGCAAATCATTAAAACTTTGAAGGAATGAGATGAATTCTTTGAAGAATGAGGTATGATATTATGCCGCTCATGTGGTTCAAAACTAGGAATATGAGGTTTCTTCCCGTGCAAAAATAATGATGAAGAAACTGGTGGAAAAAATGATGGACACAAAATATAGATTAATTTGTGGGTTGATTCGTTTATTGTTGACATTGCCCATTTCAATAGTTAATACGAACAGAACCTTTTCAGCAATGAAACATGTGAAGATTAATTTGCACAAAAAAAAAAATGTTCGATAAATTTCTCGCTGATTGCTTAACTTATTTTTAAGAGAGAGTATGTTATTGGAATGGATGAAAACTTAATTATTGTTGAATTTTCTAAATTAACAGACCGTCGTGTACCATTGACATTGTAATGAAAACTATGGTTGTTATATATTTTTTTTTACACTATCTAATTTTCTATTCAAGTGCGACCATAACCAGCTCACTGTAACAATCTGGGTACCTTTGGAGTTATGGACCTCTCCCACAACAAACTCCAGGAATTCCTCCTTGGTTTCATTGGGATCTCTCACATTTCCGAGCCTCTTTCCTACCCAAGATCCTCTCCTACGTCACCCGCGCCTCCGTGACCTTGACTCCTCCATTTGCTCGGAGTGCATCGCCCAAGTCTCTTCCCTCTACTCTAAGGTCACCAGGGCTGCTGTTCTCCTCCGCCTTCCTCGAGGCGCTGAGCGAGGCCGTGTTCACGGAGAAGGATTTGAACGCGCAGGCTGGATCCACTCTCTGTTTGACTACAACGATTGATTCTGTGGCCGACTCGGTAGAGCGCTGGTCTCGAGGTTCCAGAGGCTGATGAAGAGCAACGCATACAAGGCTAAGAGTATCGAATTGCTCAGAAAGGATTCCCTGTTTGTGGCTAAGAACGCGGCGATGGAGAAGAGGAGAGAGGATTCCTCGTTTGTTCTTAATTTAATAATTGGGTAAATACAATTTAATATCCAAACCTTTTATTTTAAACAATATAATAGCTAAACCTTTTCGAAAACAATCTAATATCCAAATCGTCAACTTTCTGTCTGTTTGACCGTTAGTTGACACTTCAAAAAAGTTCGAAGTACGACACTTCATCAATATCCATCGATATCTTCTCTGAAAAACCACCAACATATCGTAGTTCCAAACCCGAGAAGTCCATGACTCCACCATGATGGTATAGAATATCTAAATATTCAGTCATCTGCAATGCCAAAACAAGAAACAAAGTTGTATTGTGACAATTTCCCCTAAACAAAGCTTTTTTGAAGTGTCAACTAACGGTCAAACGAATGGAAAGTTGACGATTTGGATATTAGATTGTTTTCGAAAAGGTTTGGCTATTATATTGTTTAAAATAAAAGGTTTGGATATTAAATTGTATTTACCCTTAATAATTTATAATTTTATTTTTATCTTTTTAATAGTTAGAAATGAAGTGAAAATTATAAAGAATTAAATTTTATTTATTTAATTATTTTTTTAATTGTCATGTCACACGTTGACCGCCACATAAGCTAAAGTTAACGGAATTGGCCAGAGAGTGACAAAACATGAACGGTTTCGATAAACTGAAATATCACCAATGGATTTAAATATTTTGAGTGACCAAACTTAAACATTTTTTATAATCTCAATGACCAACCATGCAATTAATCCTATAATAAAACATTAGATTAGGTATTTACCACAACATCCACCAAAGTCTATCTCATATCCTTCACAATCAAATGAATGGTTTGCATACACATGAATCGACCTCCAAAGTCTGTGGACAGCGGAATCTGATATCATCGTCAACCGAAAGGAATACTTGGATGTTTGAACCCAAAAACATAAAAAATGCCAAGCTCCCAAAAACTCTGAGCCATCACCACACCCTACTTCTACACCAAAAAGTATTAGGTGGTGCAGGGAAACACAGCCTTCACTAGAAGAACATCGACATGGAGATCCTCATGGAAGGGCTGCTTCCCCAGTTATTCTACTGATAGGGATGAATACATTCTTACGGAAGGTTCTCTTCGTTCGCATCATCACTTGGCTTATCAAGCCCGCCAGGAATTTTGCCAGGGTAGTTAGTTGTCGACAACACTGAGCCTATCATACTGTAGACAAGAGAAACATGATCACCGATCATATTATCGGCAAGCTTTTCATGATTGCGACTACATTAATATAAGAACCCTGCTTACCATCTATCAACAATTACCATTGACCGGAGCTCACAATTAGCAAAGCTGCAACAAGTACAAATATAACATTCAGCTGAAGAAAATGCAAAAACTTAGATAATGAGTAAGTTAGTTGGCCAACCAAGGGGAGCACTTACTGTGTGCATATTTCTTCCTTTATAGTAATGTCACAATCGTTTCCAAAATGGCTTAGTGCATGGTACAAGAAGCCACTATGGCTAACAACAGCAATCTCCTTCTCTTTCCGAGTCCATAACCTAGCACCAATTCACAAAGCCAAGGCAGAAAAAGAGGAGAATCAAGAACTGAAGAAAACACTGAACCAAGGAACCAAAGCTACCTAGGTTTTGCACTTCACAATAGCATTCTGCTACATATTATAGGAATAATAGTTGAATAAACATTCACAACTACAGATGCTAAGATAATAAAACATGAAGGAGGGAATCAAAACAACTACCCACCAATTAAAGAACTGAAGGCCTCTGGCTGCAAGTTCGTCATCCTTCTCACGGATGTCAGCCTTCCACAACTCATCATTGTTGTTTTGGATCTACATGAAAATTCCACACCAAACAGCTTACAATTACACCATTACGAGCAGGAAGCTTCATCAAGTTACTATTGAGTATACACTACTTGCCAGTGAGAAATCAATTGCAGGAAACAGAGGTTGATAATCGCTAATGCTTCTTCTCCTGTCACATGGATGAACTCCCTGCAAAGAGATATTGGGAGGAATACAGATTTCACAAACAGCCCAATCATAATGTTGAAAATTAGTAAACCACTAAAACATTTCCAGAGTATGTTGTGGATATAGGTGCAACAAACTAACTGATAGTTCACTGTTTTGATATTAGAAAAAGAGCCAATACATTCTTCAAAAGACAACAATACCAAGTGCTGCAAGTGTTCTACCATCAGAATAGTAAAAAGTCATACCAAATGTTCCCGACATAGCTCCACTGCAAGAAAAGGAGGGCAGTCTAAACTAGAAATGGCAGAATGGTCACTTTGGCCAGCATTTTCCACCATCAATGGGACACCGTCGGTGAATCCTTCACCCCCAAACACCCCAACTGCTGTTTGCATTGTCCTTAGAAGCAAACCCCAAATCTTTCATAAACACACAAATTCTGGTAGCCACAAAAACGTTGTGCTTTTTTGAACGAGAAATAAGCATATCGTTACCTTACCAAGGGTGAAACAACCACCAGTTCAATTTTCTTATCGAGCCCAATTCCTCGAACATGTTTGCGCAAATTTTCAACCTGGGGTTCATATTCTCATCAATTCCAAAACCATACCATGATCACTTCGTGGCAAATTGGAAAACTGCAGAAGAGCAAAGAACACATTGAAACTAACCTGTTGCCAACCAAGAGGGGTAAGCCTGGCGTCGAAGAGTTCTTCGGACATGTACATATTGTAATCTTTTTCTCCTTCTACATTGTGGACTCCTTGGGCGTGCCTCACCTGTTCCGTCACCAGGTCTTCCTTCAGTTCAAAGCTTAGCAAGAAACAGAACAATGGGTTATGAGATTGAGAGACGAACCAGATGAATGGTCTTGGTACGGTGCAGTGGGTAGAGAGTCATTGCTGGCTCGGCCTCCATTTTCCCACCTTCAAAATTTGACAGAAAAACAACCAAGACTATCCTCAGGAAACAATGGGCAAAAGAGGGTGAGACAACTCAACGAATGAGATTCTGGTTCGTGGATTTTATTCGTCAGACGAAAATCGAAGCGGAAGCGAACCTGATAGAGAAGCGCAGCAGAGGGGAAGCGAAGATCGGCGGGGAGTGGAGATCGGAGAAACGATTCGCGGCGGAAGGGGGAGGGAGAGGGTGGCGGAGGAGAGAAACAAGGAGGTTTTCGGGGTGAGAATGGGAGGAGGAGGAGGAATTCCAAAGGAGTTGGGAGACGAACAAGTTGGGAACGGGAAGGACGGAGAATTTCTCATTGGCGTATGTAAGGCGATGGCGCCCAAAAGAATCATTAAAGAAATAAAAATAAATATTATCAAACCAAAATATTTAATATAAAAATATTGGTCCACAGTCCACCACTGACACTACTTATAATAAAAGACCAAAAAACAATCCAAAATAAATAATAAAAACATGACGAGCGTAGGAAAGAGTAGACGGCTTTGTGCTTGTAACGACTGGAGAAAATTGTTTTTCTTTTAAATCTGTTTCGCTGCTAGCCTGCTACTGGTTCCTTTGTCATGGGCTCATGGCTAACAATGATTCACTGAATGTCTATAGAATAACAGATTAAATAATTAAAAAAAAAAAACAGATGGAAAAGAGCGGGCATATTCTCAGAATATGCATGCATTAAGAAGGAAAAGGGAAACAAGAAATTTGATTGGTCAAACTGAACTAATAAATACAATTTATTAGTAAAATCTTTTTCGCATTCTAAAATAGTAATCCAAATTATAGAAATAAAAATAATTAGTCAAACATTAACTTTTTATTAACGATTCTGCTAGTAATGCTAATTAGTCATCACAATGCTAAGTTGGAGGACACACGGCGGTTAACATTCCAATATTTTCTAATTTTAATGAAGAAAATATCCCTCAACCACAAACAACGGTCCCCGCTCCCTCCTTGCACCGTCATGGAGGGACGACTCTAAACTTCAGGAGGCTCAATTCTGTAAACAAAATTAGCCTAATTTTTTTATTTAAAATTTAATAAAATTTAGGTAAAATATACTTTTATAACCAAAACTTTTGCATTTATATCAATAATAGCCGAATTTGAAGAAATATCACTTATAATATATTTGCTTCCAATTTAATCCATTTTTTTAGCACAAAAATCTTCGGAGACAATTACATGTGCTTTGTTGTAGTTGCTAATATACTATACTAGGCTAGTGCCCGGCCTTGGCTGGATTGTTGTTAATTTCAATACAATGCATTTATAAAATAATTATCTAATTATTGAAAATGCCCTAAAAATTCATCTGTCATGAGTAGGGTAAAAAATACGAGAAAAAGTAAAATTGGAATGAAAACGTATACCATTCGAATTATGATAATTCAGCATGAAATAAACCATCAAGACCTATATTTATTTGCAGACCTAAGGTAGTAGTAAAATTACCGATAGTTGTTTACAATGAAAGATAAAAAGCACATTAGTAGGGGTCGTGAAATGATGTTGCTGCTTATATTCTGTAGATGTAGACAGTAGTGCACTTTAAAATCTTTGCTTGATTTTAGGGGTTGTTTGGTTTTGTTGATAGTTTGGTTGGAATAGTTACAATGCATGGAATGTCAACAATGCATCATTTTTTTGAATTTTTTGCGCAAACAATACATGAATTGTTTGCTTGATTTGACTTAAACTATCACTCAAAATGAGTGATAGTTAAATCTCAAGTTTTCGTTGAGATTGTTTGATGGAGATTGTTGTGTTTTCTTCTTCTTCCAAATATGTCCCTATCTTTTTATGTGTGTTGCTTTTTATATTAAAAACAAATGGTAAAAGTGACATTTCTCCCAAAAGTATCAGAGAAACCAAACGATGTAAACTACAGTACACCAATTTTCTTATGAGCCCTTCTAGTGTGCTCTATAGCACCCATGCTATAAAAAAAAAAAAAAAGGTGACCTGTTGAGGAGGTAAACCCACTAAATGACTGGTCCCACATCATTAATGGCAATCTTGTAAATAATGAATCAATGTATACAAGTGTAGGTACAAATTAGAGTTGTACCATATCGTATAGGTACAAGTTTCAGCTGTACCATTGAAGAATTTGTTTCACAAAGTGTAGGTACAACTTAAAGTTGTACCATTAGTATAGGTACAATTTTGAGTTGTACCATAAAGGGATTTGTTAGAAAGTGTAGGTACAACTTAAAGTTGTACCATGGTATAGGTACAAGTTTGGGTTGTACCATAAAAGAATTTTGAGAAAGTGTAGGTACAACTTAAGGTTGTACCATGGTATAGGTACAAGTTTGGGTTGTACCATAGAAGGATTTTGAGAAAGTGTAGGTACAACTTAAAGTTGTACCATGGTATAGGTACAAGTTTGGGTTGTACCATAGAAGGATTTTGAGAAAGTGTAGGTACAACTTAAGGTTGTACCATAGTATAGGTACAATTTTGAGTTGTACCATAAAGAGATTTATTAGAAAGTGTAGGTACAATTTAAAGATGTACCATTAGTATAGGTACAATTTTGAGTTGTACCATAAAAGGATTTGTTAGAAAGTGTATGTACAACTTAAAGTTGTACCATGGTATAGGTACAAGTTTGGGTTGTACCATAAAAGAATTTTGAGAAAGTGTAGGTACAACTTAAGGTTGTACCATTAGTATAGGTACAATTTTTAGTTGTACCATAAAGGGATTTGTTAGAAAGTGTAGGTACAACTTAAAGTTGTACCATGGTATAGGTACAAGTTTGGGTTGTACCATAGAAGGATTTGGAGAAAGTGTAGGTACAACTAAGAGTTGTACCATTAGTATAGGTACAATTTTGAGTTGTACCATAAAGAGATTTATTAGAAAGTGTAGGTACAACTTAAAGTTGTACCATGGTATAGGTACAAGTTTGGGTTGTACCATAGAAGGATTTTTAGAAAGTGTAGGTACAAATTAAAGTTGTACCATGGTATAGGTACAAGTTTGGGTTGTACCATAAAAGAATTTTGAGAAAGTGTTGGTACAACTTAAGGTTGTACCATTAGTATAGTTACAATTTTTAGTTGTACCATAAAGGGATTTGTTAGAAAGTGTAGGTACAACATTAAGTTGTACCATGGTATAGGTACAAGTTTGGGTTGTACCATAGAAAGATTTTTAGAAAGTGTAGGTACAAATTAAAGTTACCCTGTTAACACGAGCATTACATAGATCCATTCACAATGTTCTCTAGTAACTGTACATCATATCAGATGAGACACCCTGTTAACAAAAAGTAAAAAGCAGTCAAAGCATTACATTTGTCTAATGTGGTTGTTTCATAGCATATATTGTTTACAAATTGAAAGAACATGTCATAACTTAAGTAGGAACAGAGCTAGTAGTACATCAAATCAAATACCCTGTAAACAAAAGTATAGAGCAACCAAAGCATTACAACTCGAGCTTCGATTTGAGGTTGGGCTCGAAATTGAAGTCTCTCCCTTGCTTCTCTTAGCTCCCTCTCCCTTACAAGGAGTCAAAGGGTGCGGTTTATGTTGTCGTCTCTCGGTATCAAGTCCTCCGGGTTGCTTCGGGTCATAAACCTGAAACCACAAACTCAAACACCAAACCCGTGCCAAGCACAAGCAAACACAAACAAAAACACAATGCAGAAAAGTAAATTAGTAAAACTAGCGTAACAAACGACTGATTGAACACAGAAGAGTAGCTGCAATGGTGGTATTCTGAGACTATCGTCAATGCATTAGTTCGTTGATTGCTTGAGAATGCAACTACAACATCTGGAAGACCAGAACAAGTAGTCATACAAAGCATGAAAAAGATCACATTCTTAACCTAGAAGGCAACATCGTGAGAAAATAAAAACAACCTACGAATTCTTTTGGCTCTTGCAATCACGACCAAAACTAATAAACCCCATTTATGAATAGTTCCATTCAAACTTGAGAGTCTACAATTCATAAAAGTTAAAACCACAAAATCTAGCAACAGATCATGTATGTAGCGAAGCTGGCTTTTAAAACTACATGTTTGCTGATAAGAGAGTTAAGATTGACTATTCAGCAATGAATAAAACCTCAATATGAATGGATTATATCACAGCTCCCTTAATCTTGACTCGCCCTATATGCCAGGAAGTGAAGTACCAACAAACTACATGGGCATTACTTTCAAAAGGTAGGAACAATTCAAGCAGCTACGTGAACGTGATTTCGAAACCAGCCACCTAATTTTAAACCTTACAACAACACACTCTTCACTTCTCACTCTATGAACATTTATTCCATCCGTTAAGCAAATGAAGCAGATTCTATTAAACTTCAGTTCCATATAATCCAAAGTGACTACCTTTGTCCACTATGTTCAAATCAAAACCTTCCTGTGTACTGTGTTCAAATCAAAACCTTCGTCATCGTCACATTTCCAACCCATATGTCTATCAATTAGTGTGACCAAACGGTCCATTTTACCAGAAAGTTTTTGCGATAGATAGATGGTTAAGCAAAAATGTCAAACCAGAAATGCACCGCACGAATCACAAGGCATGAACCACCATCCGTCTCCACTATAAAAAACTAATAATCACACACTCTAAAATCTGTAGGTATTCTCTGAAATTTTTATCATCCCTCGTATCTAGTAGTTCTTCTTTTATGAGCTTCCCCGGTCCTGACTAATGCAACTATGCTCTTAAACGAAATGCTTATCATGAACAACAATTACTACTCCCTTTGTACCATTTCTACCATAATGGATAAAATGTCATTATTCCTCCCTAATAAAACCACAAGATCGGAATATGTATATGAAAAGCCAAAACCCTAAGCATAGAGCCTTTGTATCTTCATCCACGTGTACAAGAAAGAACGTAAAAACGTCAAACATTTATTATGATCAAGATGACTGACTAATCGATAAACCACCATTACGTCAAAACTTTAACTTGATCTGAGTGATATGATCCAGAAAGGTGGAAAGGAAGTGTCAGGAAATGAAAGGAAGATGCAGAAGAAGAAGAGTTGCATATCCCCATAATCTGAAAACTAGAAAGGAAAATAAGCTATAGCTACTTGGTAATGTCAGTGAAGAAGCTACAACACTACTACAAACTATAGCAAGACCACAACGCTTAGGAAGCTGATGTAGGACAAACGTGTAGTTTGAACCAACATACATGACAAATTCCAACCAACTTGAGACTAGTAATGCAAAAGCAAAAGGCAGCAAGAATAAAGATGAAATTGTGAAGAACAAAACCCCTAAACCTAAAGAGTTGTTCAGCTGGAGTCAGAGAATGAGAAGGAGAGGAATGGGTCTGGGAGAAGTGGATATTTGTCACAGAACAGAGTTATTAACTACCAAATACAAAAGAGGCAGAAGATTGTTGAAGACAGTGAAAGCTGTGAAATAACAAAGATGGTTGAGGGAAACAACGTTGAGGCTCCCAATTCAACAATGGCATAACACATTCATTATCAAAAGACTACCCACAAGAAACCAGTTTGCTTTTGATAACTACTCTATCCAACATCACTAATCCAACAACATGCTGTATTTAGGAATCACAAATTAATCACAAGAAGCTTGTGTTAGTGAACTACAGGGAGAAATCCTTCCCCGGAAAGCAATCTACTGATTCATTTCGTCGAATTAGAAAGAGAAGCATGGAATTGAGGGAGTGGGTAAAGATAACACAGATCGTGAACAACAAGTTCTTTACCGTAACTAACTTGAACCCATGTCAGAAATCGAATGTCTATCAAGGGTGATCAGAAGTTCAGTCACTTACATGGAATGAATGACTAAGACTGCAGCTCTATCACCCAATTCTCGCTATTGCAGAAGTCCTGCCGCCGGCACCAACTTAGTCGTCGTTTTGGATTAAGCTTCCTAGTCTTCGATTCCTTATGCACAAATCCAGCTCTTCTCCAAGTCAGTGAAACCCTCGTCCACCGGCAAATCCGAGTCGCCGTCACCGTTGCCCCTACCCACCCCTTGACTACCGACGAGGTGACGCCGCGAAACACGATCGCGGAAGAGGAGACGCAAAACATCTCTTTCCTCATTCTCACAGCGTTGCTGTCACCCTATTTCAGAAGATGGTTCACCGTAGTCGGCGTCGCTGCTCACCCCCTTCACTATCGGCAAAGAGACGCGACGAAATCCCACCGAGGATTTCAGTAGATGAATTGCCGTCGTCAAACACCGTCTTTCGATTCCACATTGACGATCTTAATTTTTTAATTTTAAAATTCCTTAACCGGTGCAATAGGTCACCAAAATCAACAATGAAAAAAATAATAATTAAATAACTTAAATCCAATGACAGATAGTATCCAACAAGATCCAATGGCTCTAAATATATTATAGCATTGATGCTTTATAGCATACTAAAACTTCTCTTTTCTTATATACATGTATATTATTATGCATGCATTGATTACAATACATCGATTAAACTATCACCAAAACCAAACCACCCCTTACTACTTTACTTCTGTGGTTTACTGGCCTTTCTTCGGCCTTTGTCTTGCTTTGGTGTTGTTCTTCCTTTGGTTTCATTCTTGTTGAAATCCGTCTAAGGGCTCTTCTATTAGTTACCTTTTCTTGAATATATAATTGCTTATTTTCAAGAGGATTTCCAAATTGAAGTTCTTTTATTTCAAAAGGTAAATAGCGATAATTTTTTAATGAAATAATGGAAAAAACTTCAAACTCTCATTAATTCGGCCCTTCAACCTCAATATGAACTATAATCGCATTATACTGCAACTTGTAGTTGGTGTCCTACAATTTTGGGTATCAGACAATGGTTGTAAGTAACAAACAATAATTGTCAATAGAAGCAATCTAACTACAACCAAGCAACTTATAATTAGCCAAGAATTGCAATTATCACTTCTTTCGACCAATTGTGAGAATTGAAAACAACTCCATAAACCAAAGCCAAGCTTTTAAAAAAAAACACACAATTAAGTCAAGAACAAAAGAGAGTTGTGTACTTTTCAACATCATAGAATATAATTGACATAAAGGAATGAATGTCAAGCTTATCAACGTATACAATATGTACTTCAAGCACCTATTCAAATCTCAATAATCGAAAACAAGGTTCCGATAGAAGCCAATTAACTCCCATATGTGCACAACTATTCTATTCAAACATTTTGCCACAACTGCAATACAATATGTATTGCAGAAGTTTGAACTCTCGTAGTTTGTTGTACTCTACTACAACAACTGTATCATTAAAATTTTGATTATGTCCGCGAAAGAAGAGGACAAAAACATTGAGAGTCATAAGAGTGAAGCACAATTACAATGATGAATTAATTTAGGAGATACGAAATTAATCAACTATTCTAAAATGATGAAATGTGATCCTTCGCAAACTACCAAAAGCACAATCTTCCATGAGAAGTAATCTGCCATATTGAAAATCTACATATACGTTGCCAACCAGTCATTCAATTAATCTTTCCAACAATAGTTCTCTTAAATTGACCATATATTAAGGGAGTTGCTAAAGGTCGCCCTAAAAAAGTTTAAAGTTATACTTATAATCCCCTATCTTCTTTACCTTCTTTTTATCAAACAAACACCACTTGGACTAAAAAAACACTATCTAAGGAGAGAAAAATCCATCATCGTCATTTTGAAGCCGATATCGTCGGTAGGACGTCTGAATCATGAGTAGCGACTCCGACGAGGTAAATACATTAACTGAAAAACGAGAAAAAAAACCAAAAAATGCCCAACCGCAAGTGACCTGCGGTTGGACCATGGCTGGACCGCAAATCACCTGCGGTTGGGCCATGGCTGGACCGCAAATGACCTGCGGTCCAGCCATGGTCCAACCGCAGGTCACTTGCGGTTGGGCATTTTCTGGGTTTTTTTTTTCGTTGAATAATTTTCTATTTTTTATATGATTTATGATTTGTTCCATGAGATAATTTGTTGGGTTTTGATTTATATAATTTTCTAGATTTATTTGCATAATTATTTTTGGAATTGAAGGATTTAGCATTAGAAATTAAGATTAGATTTGGCCTTAAATTAAGATTAGATTTAATTTGGTCTTAATCTAGAAAATTAAGATTAGATTTTGCATTACAAATTAAGATTAAATTTATTGCATAAATAATAGATTCGCATATGAAGATTAGATTTTTAATTTGGTCTTAATCTAGAAAATTAAGATTAGATTTTGCATTACAAATTAAGATTAAATTTATTGCATAAATAATAGATTCGCATATGAAGATTAGATTTAATTTGGTCTTAATTTAGAAAATTAAGATTAGATTTTGCATTACAAATTAAGATTAAATTTATTGCATAAATAATAGATTCGCATATGAAGTTATGATGATTATTAAATTTAATATAGTTATGAAATTTTAAATTTATCATATGGTACTCGTTAAACTGACGATATAGAATGTTAAGTTTTTTTTTTTAATTTGTGGGGTATCACTTATAAATTCTGATAACATTGCAGGATATTGGAAGTTACAATCCGGATGGCCATGATTACACCTCAGATTTCATTGATGGCGTGAAATACACTACGGAGTTGCAAGCATATGAAGCAGCTACTGAGATTGCCAAGGGTTTTGGGTTTTATTTGGTGAGGGCATCGAACAAAAAAAATAAGAATGAAGGTACGTGGAGACATTACTTACATTGCACTCATGGTAGAAAGAAGAAGTCGAATGAACCTGATCCGAGTAAGGAAAGGAGGCTTCTTACATCTACTGAAAAGTTGGGGTGCGAGTTTCAGATCAAGCTTGAGCGGTCAGGTGATGGATATTGGTTGATCCTAGGGGTGGCAAATATAAAGAACCCTGGTGCTAATTTGGGTTTCCACAATCATCAGTTGGAGCTATTTCTGGAAGGATCAAAGGGAAGGAATGTTCTGACTACAGATGATAAGCAATACATCAGAGAGCTGAGATCAGCCGGTGTCCCACCAAGGAATATCCACAAGGCAGTAAATAATTAAATTCTATGTAATCAAAGGTAAGTAATTAAATTCTAAGCAATACATCAGAGAGCTGAACATTTATGTTACGTTCTATGTAATCATTATTTACATAAAAGTAAATAATTAATCAAGGTAAAATTATTAATAATTAAGTAGATAAACGAATTACTTTGAAATTTTGATTATTAAAATGATAAATATACATTTTTAAATTTTTTATTATGTTCTTTAAATTTGTTATCATTAATTAACATTTATCGAAAACGTTTTTTAAATTTGTATATCATATAACTAAATTATAACTAAATTAACATTATAACTAAATTAACATTTATCGAATACGTTATCATTACATATAATTATAACTAAATTATTTTTATTAAGTATATTTTTTAATTTTTTTATTATTATTAACATTTATTTAAACAAAGAATATTAAAAAACAGAATTTAAAAAAAAAGGGTCAACCGCGGTCAACGCGCGGTCTGACCGACGGTCAACGCGCGGTTGAACCGACGGCTGACCGCGGTCAAAGCGTTGACTGCGGTCGGAATTTTTTTTTTTTTTACCTTCTTCTTCTCCGGCGGCGGCGAGCGCGCGACCTTCTTCTCGTCTGCGCGTCGGCGGGAACGCGACGAGGGGAGGCAGAGCACCGGCGGCGGGAACGCGACGAGGGGCAGAGGGGGAGGGCGGCAACGCGACGAGGTCCGGCGAGGCTGGACGGCGGCGATGCTGGCGCGGGCGGCGAGGGACGGCGGCGAGCTTGCGCGGCGTCTGGCTGCTTCTTCTCCGGCGGTGGGGACCCCCGGCGGCGGGTTGATTTTGCAGAGGGAGAGGGTTGAAGGAAGTCCCGCTGGAAGGAGGGAAGGAGGGTGGAGGCTGAAAGGGCTGTTTGGTTGGTCTTTTTTTTAAATTTTCATTAAGGGCATATAGGTAAATTGATTTGTAAGTTAGGGCGACGTTTAGCAATTTTTAGGGCGACAATTAGCGATTCAGTATATTAATAACGTCCACGCTATTAGAGTCCATCACTAAATGAAGCCACTAACCCATAGTTAACATTTGATTTAATTTTGACAAAAATTGTAACATCCCGAACTTTTTCTCGAAAAGATACTGTCCGCTTTGGGCCTCTACACTCGCACGGATTTCGACTTGGGGTGCAATTCAAGGTGACTTCTCATAAGGTTACCCATCCTTGTTGTACTCCACACTGAGCGCGTTTAATTTTGAAGTTCTTACATGAACACCTCCATTTCACCCCAAAACACGTCTTGTCAGTTAAGGTCGGTTTCCTACTTATGAACCATGGATCTCTCTCGTGCTTTGTCGATGTGGATTTTGCCTAAGGTGTTACATACACACCTCCTTGGGACTAAACGCCCTCGTTGAGGTTTGCCCCACCATCGTTCAACAGGGACGCGGAGAGGCTCTGATACCACTTGTAACATCCCGAACCTTTTCTCGAAAAGATACTGTCCTCTTTGGGCCTCTACACCCGTACGGATTTCGACTTGGGGTGCAATTCAAGGTGACTTCTCATAAGGTCACCCATCCTTGTTGTACTCCACACTGAGCACGTTTAATTTCGAAGTTCTCACATGAACTCCTCCATTTCACCCCAAAACGCGTCTTGTCAGTTAAGATCGGTTTCCTACTTATGAACCATGGATCTCTCTCGTGCTTTGTCGATGTGGGATTTGCCTAAGGTGTTACATACACCCCCCCCCCTTGGGACTCAACGTCCTCGTTGAGGTTTGCCCCACCATCGTTCAGGAGGGACGCGGAGAGGCTCTAATACCACTTGTAACATCTCGAACCTTTTCTCGAAAAGATACTGTCCGCTTTGGGCCTCTACACCCGCTCGGATTTCGACTTGGGGTGCAATTGAAGGTGACTTCTCATAAGGTCACCCATCCTTGTTGTACTCCACACTGAGCACGTTTAACTTCAAAGTTCTCACAGGAACTCCTCCATTTCACCCCAAAATGCGTCTTGTTAGTTAAGGTTGGTTTCCTACTTATGAACCATGGATCTCTCTCGTGCTTTGTTGATGTGGGATTTGCCTAAGGTGTTACA